GGTTAAATTGCAGAACTTGAAATCAACACAATGACATTAAGGCTAATTGCATTAGCTCAACAGCCTCCTATAGTTGTATAATGCTATATAAAATATCTAGAAGAGGTGGGCACAGTGGCTCATGCCTATAATTCCAGTACTTTGGGAGGATGAAACAGGAGGATTGCTTGAACCCAAGAGTTCAAAACAAGCCTGGGCAAGATGGCGAGACCTTGTCTCTACAAAAAGTGTTTTAAAAATTAGCCAGTTATGATGGCACATGCCTATCGTCCTGCTACTCTGGAGGCTGAGGTGAAATGAATTTTTGGGCCCAGGAATTCAAGATGGTATTGAGTTCTGATCATGCCACTGCACTCCAGTCTGGGCAGCAAAGCTGGACCCTGTTTCTAAAATATAAATTAATTAATTAATTAAATAAAATACCTCAAAGAGTATCTGGCACATAGCAAATACCATAAATTGTTTGGTAATGTTACTTTGTCTACTTCAACGTTATACTAATAAAAATACACTGTTTCAAGCTTGTAAAGTGAGAACATAAAACTAATAAAAAGTTGAAATTTGAAAATTTGAAAAACACTAAATTTTAAAGAAAAATAAAGTAGACAAATATGAGATCATTTTTCATGCTGAGGACAACTGTAAATGTTAGAAAAATGAAATGGAGAAAAGCATATAAAGATTGCCGTTAAAGAGAGGAAAGTATAACATCTAAAGATAAAAATTAAATGAGAAAGACTGGAAAATATGAAAATGATCAGAAGGTCAACTAATTAGAAAACTGAGTTACAAGCTGAAGAATGTAAAAGAGTTAATGCATAGAAAAATAACAAGCAGATCAAGGAGAGTGAAGCCAGACACTTCTACTCTGCCATTTTCGTTGTATTTATTGTTGTTGTGTTTTGTTGATTTATTTGTTTTTGCTAGACTCCTACAAAAATAATGGTTGACTTTAAGGCCTTAAATGTGCTTCCTTATTTTTAGTTTAATAAATGAAATCTGAGAGGACCTTTGTGCTGGCAATTTTGCTATAACATGATATATTCTAACTTATAGCTAATTTGATGGACAGGACATAGCTCATTTTTGCTCTTCTTTAATTTTGTAGTTATGCTTGACATTGCACATCAGTCACTATACATTGGCCATCTACATCGGCAATCTACATCATACATTTTCTTTTAGGAATTTGATTATTAAGCGCTTTGCTCTGGTTTTATATAATTCCTTTTATTTCAGATATTCCCTCTTATTATAATTAAAGTTACCAGTGCTTAAATATCTTTACTAGTTAACAAACTATTAAAAGTTATCATTTCATAAATAATTTTTAGATCTTTGTTCACATTTATAATAGTTAAGGTAACAGCATGGTTGAGAATCATCATTCTTCTGTATTTAGTTGATTCGTGATTTTGAGCTGAAACTCATTCTCCTGTGCCACAGTTTTCTCACCTAACAGTAATGAGAGTAACTGTCTCCAAAGGTCTTATGAGTATTGCATAAATTAATTCATGTATAATGGTTAGCAAAGCATCAAATGCTGTAAGGACTTAATAAATGCTGACAACGATTATTTGTTTATATGAACTCTGGCTTATTTTCATTTTCTTTCCCTTTATTGTGTATTTTTGTTTATATGTCCTAATGATGTTTACTGGACACTTGCACAGTTTACTCTCTGGTATCCTTTAGTGTTAGTGCTTTGTGGATTTATTGTATGATTATTTATCTATTCAGGATTTCTAAGTATTTTTGAGAAAAAATTTAAAACCTATTTTTAGGAATATCTATTTCATCAAAATTTAATATAGAGGTACAAAATAATTTAACAAAACCACCAATATCTAAATGTGTTGGTCCTTATCTAAAAATGAAGCAATTTCTAAATGCTCTGATGAAAACTGTCAAAACCTAATATAAGATTTATGAATAATTCGATAAGTAACAATCTCTTGGACTGTGAGATTCTCAATAAGATACGGAAAGAAAAAATGACTTTGACACTATGGTGGAAGAGCTAATGTAGGATTTTTCAGAATCAGTTTAGTGCTCATGTTGCCCACATTTAGTAAGTCAATGGCCAACATGGATTAATGTGGTGATAATGATAGAGTTTTAGATTGCTGGTGCAGGCCAGCTCTCAAAGAATTGTGTAAAAAACCAAACCACAATCAGGCAATGATATAAAAATAAATTCTGGCCAGGCGCAGTGGCTCAAGCCTGTAATCCCAGCACTTTGAGAGGCCGAGGTGGGCGGATCACAAAGTCAAGAGATCGAGACGATCCTGGCTAACATGGCGACACCCCGTCTCTACTAAAAATACAAAAATTAGCTGGGCTTGGTGGCGTGCACCTGTAGTCCTAGCTACTCGGGAGGCTGAGGTGGGAGAATTGCTTGAATCTGGGAGGCAGAGGTTGCAGTGAGCTGAGATTGTGCCACTGAACTCCAGCCTGGCGCCTGGTGACAGAGTGAGACTCTGTCTCAAAAATAAGTAAATAAATAAATAGATAGATTCCAAGAACTACTTTATACAAATTCAGCAAGTATCATCAGTCAGAAGTCCACCTGATAGATTTACCTGTCCAAAGGAAAATCTTTAGATTTTTTCCATGTCTATTGAAATGGATGAAAATCTTACTACACAAATTAATATACACAAGTTTGCCACAGTTATTCATTTTATTTAAATAAAATTAAATTTGACTCATCCTCTCATCTAATTAGAGTATATAGAGATATGATCCTTATTGGAACCACTTCACTTTCCCAGTGTCTATAATGTATACTTGTGGCATTAAACAGAAAAACATAAATGATAGACACACACTTCACAGTACACATCTTTGGTTCACTATGATTTTCACTAGATGTCCACTGATCCACTAACCAAGTTCCCATTACTTTATGAAGGCCTATGACTATCTAGAAGATGGTATTGACACAAAGCAAACCATGTCAAAACTAAGAACTGTCTCTGAGGTTCATGCCTCTCATGAAGCTGCCTACTGCCCAGAGTCCCAACTTCAGAAATGTTTTAGTACTCAATGTTCTACATGTTGGTGAGCAATATGGGTACTGCTGTCTATGGTAGAAAAGCTGTCATTTCTCTGAGAGGTTACTATGATATTAGGCCAAAAAATTCTATTTATCATGGCATACCAGATTTCTTTAATCTTCGTAATTTTAGAGAATCTTATCTCTTTCTTTTTCTGCTTTACACTTCTGCATTTATATGAGAATAACTCTTTCAAGGGGATGAAGATCCTCTTCCCCTTGCAAAAGTGAGAAGGAAAACAAATTTGTTTTAGAGGAACTTCTGCTTTTGGCCTGACAATTTAATCATTCTCTGAGGTGCAGGAGGATAAAGGGTCTAGCAATTTCTTTGAAGTAGTAAGATAACTAGGGCAGGAAAAAAGAATGAAAACAGGAAGTTGCTACCTCAAACACAAGGAGCTGCTAGTTGCCTTTATATTTAGGAAATATTACAGTAAGTACACAAAGATGTTTAGCTTTTAGGTCACTAGAAACATGGAGAAAACAATGAACTACATGAAAAGACATGAAATCCTATGGCCATCATATCTGATTAAAATGAATGACAAAGGAAGAGGTGGCTGATGGAGTAAGTAATCATTTTACCTGATTCCACTTTAGCTAAGTATTCTTAATATTAAAATTGACAAAAAATGCATAGCACACATTAAAGGAGATGACTGAAATTCAGGAAATTGGAAATTGGTTTTGATTCATTAATTTGATTTATTTTGTCCACAAAAATTAACATGCAAATATGTGATAAAAACAGAAATGTCCCCAAATGCCCTTTTCTTAGGCAATTCACAAAATGTTGGAAAAAAACCATAGCATGTGAGTGTCTCCACATCTTTCCTAACTTTAGTTTCTACTGCAGTTAATTATGACTAATGGAGTATGATTTCTTCATGTGCTGGAGATTTGGGGAACTATAATTGGGGAATATTTTTGATGCAATGTATTTAGTTCTTAGTATAATTTTAGCAGGTCCAAGAAAAGATAATCAATTTCCTCCTGCTGATTCTTTGACCAGGCAGCTGGGGAATAATAATATTTATCTTCTGTTCATCTTCCACACTTTATTTAGGACTGGAATATTTTTCCTAATAACATGAAGAGAGAAAAGATCCTCATTCTATGTCTCTGTCTCTTTATCTTTGTTTAACTTACCTTAACACTTGGAGGTTATATTGTTCAGCCATTAAAACAGACGTAATCTAGAAACCTCAACATCATAATATTTACCATCAGTATCATCTAGTAAAGATATTTAAAAGTATGAGAGCATAATCTCAAAGTATCTTAGAAATATTAGAAAAATTTCAGTTAGTAGAAATAGATACAGACATAAAAGAGACATGGAATCAAGAAAGACGTTAAATTTGTCTTTTCAATATGCTCAAGGATAAAAAGTAAAACAGAAACATAATGAGGAGTGAAAGTGAAATATAAAAAGAAACAAGTTGGAACTTACAGAGGCAAAATATCTGATATGAAAACTTAATTGAATAGGATTAAAACAAATGATATCTAAAGATAAATATTCAAACTGAAGCACAAGCTAAAAAATGGTGAAAAAATGCAAAGAGACTTATTGACCTTTTCAACTGTTTTAGATCAAAAACTCTTAAGCATCTCAAATAATATTTAACTAAGAATAAATAAAAAAGAAGAAAGGAAGAAAGGGAAAATAAAAAGGAAACAATAAAGAAGTAACTATACCATGACACATCATAATAAAATTTCTGAAAACTGAAGAATTAAAAAACAAAACCTCAGTTAAGTGTGTTTCTGTGGCAAAGTATTACATAAAGAAAAAAATCATGAGAAACAAATGACACTAGAATGACATCTTTAAGTTTCTGAAAGTAAAATATTAACACTCAACTTATAACTGTATATACAGCAAAAAAAATTCTTTAAAAAAGGTCAATATGAGACTCCACGCGCCGCTCCCGTCGCGCCGCAGACGCACGCAGGTGCGTGAGGCCGTGCCCGCCGGGGACCCTGCAGACGTGGGCCAGCCAGGGAGCACATCGGCACGCCCAAGGCTGAAAATGTCCGCTTGGTAGATCGAGTGTCTCCTAAAAAAGCAGCTCTAGGTACTTTGTATTTGACGGCTACTCACGTCATATTCGTTGAAAATTCACCTGACACAAGAAAAGAAACATGGATTCTTCACAGTCAGATTTCCACCATTGAGAAACAGGCAACAACTGCTACTGGATGCCCTCTGCTGATTCGCTGCAAGAACTTTCAGATAATACAGCTCATCATACCTCAGGAAAGAGATTGCCATGACGTGTACATCTCCCTGATACGCCTTGCAAGGCCAGTGAAATACGAGGAGTTATACTGCTTTTCATTTAACCCCATGCTGGATAAAGAAGAAAGAGAGCAAGGCTGGGTGCTGATCAATCTCAGTGAAGAATACAAGCGGATGGGCCTCCCTAATAATTACTGGCTGCTCAGTGATGTGAATAGACAGTACAGAGTTTGTGACTCTTATCCTACTGAACTGTACGTTCCCAAATCGGCCACGGCACACATCATAGTGGGGAGTTCCAAATTCCGGAGTAGACAGCGATTTCCTGTCCTTTCTTACTACTATAAAGATAACCACGCCTCCATCTGCCGGAGCAGCCAGCCCCTGTCTGGCTTCAGTGCCCGGTGCCTAGAGGATGAGCAGATGCTCCAGGCCATTAGAAAAGCCAATCCAGGAAGTGACTTCGTTTATGTTGTTGACACCCGGCCTAAACTTAATGCAATGGCAAATCGTGCTGCAGGGAAAGGCTATGAGAATGAAGACAATTATTCGAATATCAAGTTTCAGTTTATCGGGATAGAGAACATCCATGTCATGAGGAACAGTCTGCAGAAAATGCTGGAAGTGTGTGAACTTAAATCTCCCTCCATGAGTGACTTCCTGTGGGGTCTGGAGAACTCTGGCTGGCTAAGGCACATTAAGGCCATAATGGATGCAGGAATCTTCATTGCAAAGGCAGTTTCAGAGGAAGGGGCAAATGTGCTTGTTCACTGTTCCGACGGCTGGGACAGGACTGCTCAGGTGTGCTCAGTGGCGAGCCTGCTGCTGGACCCGCACTACCGGACTCTGAAGGGCTTCATGGTATTAATTGAAAAGGACTGGATTTCCTTTGGTCATAAGTTTAATCACAGATATGGCAATCTAGACGGTGATCCAAAAGAAATCTCTCCCGTTATTGACCAGTTCATTGAGTGTGTTTGGCAGTTAATGGAAAAATTTCCCTGTGCCTATTGAGTTCAATGAGAGGTTTTTGATTCACATTCAACATCACATTTATTCCTGCCAGTTTGGAAACTTCCTATGTAACAGCCAAAAGGAGAGACAAGAACTCAAGATTCAAGAAAGAACATACTCATTATGGGCTCACCTGTGGAAGAATTGGGCCGACTACCTGAATCCTCTGTTTAGAGCTGATCACAGCCAGACCCAGGGAACCCTTCATCTCCCTACAACACCATGCAACTTTATGTACAAGTTTTGGAGTGGAATGTATAACCGCTTTGAAAAGGGGATGCAGCCCGGACAATCAGTTACAGATTACCTGATGGCAGTGAAGGAGGAAACTCAGCAGCTAGAGGAAGAACTAGAGGCCTTGGAAGAGAGGCTGGAAAAAATTCAAAAGGTCCAGTTAAATTGCACTAAGGTGAAGTGTAAGCAAAGTGAACCCAGCAAGCACTCAGGGTTTTCTACCTCAGACAACAGCATAGCCAACACTCCCCAGGATTACAGTGGGAATCTGAAATCATTTCCATCCCGGAGCCCTTCGCAAGGCGATGAAGATTCTGCTCTGATTCTAACCCAAGACAATTTGAAAAGCTCAGATCCAGATCTGTCAGCCAACAGTGACCAGGAGTCTGGGGTGGAGGATCTGAGCTGTTGGTCTCCAAGTGGTGGTGAGCATGCACCAAGTGAAGATAGTGGCAAGGACCGGGACTCTGATGAAGCTGTGTTTCTCACTGCCTGAAGTTTCCCTTTGGAGTTCCAAAGTAAAGGACACACAAGCAACACTTGCAAAAATAAGGGAACACAGGAAGTTTATCATAAAAACAAGAAATGGTACATGTCATTGAGAACTATTATTTTAATGCAGCTATGAAAAGGGAAACAAGTGCCCAGCTCTTGATTTCTTAGATACTGAAGAGGACATAGTCATTTCGTTTATCAAATATAAGGAAAATTATTCACCATTTTGAAGCTCATCCTAGACTATGAAAATTATATTCACTACAGAGCAATTACTTCTGTTATTACCTAAAGTTATCAATATATATCTTCCTTGTCATAGCATGCATCTCTTAAAAAGCCTCAACTGCTTTCCCTCACATCTGTGATCATTATGAATCTTTTAGTTGCCTTCCAGCTGTATATTTTGTGTTTTCGAAAGCATCTGACATTATCTTCCTTTCTGACCGTCTTATCCATATTTCTAAAAACAGGCACATTGTTGAGATGCATCCTTTTTGGTTAATAGATATACTCCTAAGGAGCTTTTAATTGCTTAAGGTTATCATCAGGAATAATCATCACTTTAACTTTTCCTTAGATAAAATATTTTGAATTGTTAGAATAATTTTGTTGCCTTTCTCTGAGATCTATAGTCTGTTTCTCCTCATCATTTAAAAATGCTAAAATTTATATCACTTTTCTTTAACAATGATTTAATACCTAACAAGGTAGAAGCGAAAAAAAAAAAAAAAAGTCAATATGAAATCAAGACAAAAATACAAGGAAAAGTAGATAAGAATTTTTATTGCTAGAAGACCTGCACTAAGAAAATCATTGAAGATAAATCTTCAGTATAAAAAAATACCAGATGACAATACAAATATACATAATTAATTGAAGAGCATTGAAATTATAAATACATGGTTAAATGTAAAGTTACCTTAAAAAATTTATAATTTAATTCATAAGTAACGTGATTATTAAAATTATTAAAATGTAGTATGAGTTCTATTGCTAATGTGTGATTGAAAGTTATGACAATAATTGTCTAAAGACCAGATTTGGAAATATGAAAGCAATGAATTTTTGTAATATTCTTATATGTGAAGTTTTAGATATTATTTGAAGAAAAATTATAATTAATTACAAAGCTTGTTGCAAACTCTAGAAAAGTAAAATAAAATATATAATACTTATTGATAAAAATCAATGAAAAAGACTATATAGGCAAATCAGTGTATACAAAGACATACATGATACAGGTATTTTTAAAAGTAAAATGTGAAAATATGTACCAGGTAAACATTCAAAATATATCTGGAGGTGGTGAGACTCTGGGAATGGCAGTGAGTAACTGTCTGTCAACCATCTCTACAGTGAAACAGACATTAAACTGGTGAAAATTATTAAAAACAGCCATCTAAAGAAATTGACCTAAAAGTATGCAACAAATCAAAGCAGCATTAATTAAATGAAATCTATAAACTTTCATGTGGTTGGAATCCATGGCATTTAAACCACAAATGGCTTTTGCCCTCAGACTTATCCTCTTAGCTTTATGTTGTAAAATATTGAATATTAGTGGGCATTGCCAGGAAGGACCCAGAACTCCTATAATTACTACCCCACTCCTATGGGAAAAAAACTCTTCCCTGAATAAGACTGGTAGGCCATGAATTACAGGCTGAAAAATCAAGGATTCCCATCATCTCACCATCTTCCTGGCTCTCACTTGTATGGTGACAATTTCATGCCAAAATGTCAAATGAAAAAGTCTATGGCTGAGACTCCACCCCCAAATCTCCCACAAAGATCAGAAGAATAACTCTAGAATAAGGCTACCTTGCTCACACTATCCAGGTCCAGCTCAGTAATACAGTGGTTCTACGTACGCAGGAGAGTGAAGACGTGAGAACTATCAGTCCTTTTCTCCTTAGGCTGGGTGATTTAACTTTTTGTGATATTATTGATTCTTCTGTTAGCTCAAATGTGCTGTTGAATTCCTCTAGTAAATTTTTGTTTTCAGTTATTACACTTTTGAGCTCAAGAATTTATGGGTGGTACCTTATCATTTCTATCTCTTTATTGATATTACCATTTTTTTAATGCTGCCTCTTGTTGTTTGTCCAAGCTATATTTTAGTTCTCTGAGCATATTTAAGACAATAATTTTAAAATATTTGCTTAGCAAATCCAATGTCTAGACTTCTTCAGATATAGATGTTTCTGTTTCTTTGTCTTTTGATTTTTTTGGTGTTGAAACTAGACATTTGAATGTTTTAATGTAGTAACTGAAATCAGAGTTTTCTCCTTTTCAGAGTATGCTTTTGATTTTATTTATTTTAAAAACATCATTGAAGGGTATTGCAGTTTGCTTAGTGATTTACCAATTTTTTTAATAGTCTGTGAGCATTGTCATGTGTGGCACTGAACACTGTTTCTTAGCATGTGTTCACTTTTGGTTTCTAAACTATTTATTTGTATTTTCTATTTGATAAGACACTTTCACATCATCCTTTTCTTCTTTAAGTATGATTACTATCTCCTGGAGTGACTCATTTATAGCTAGGGATAACGTCCAGGAAAAACAAAAGTAAAGAAAAGGGAACAGAGACTAAGGAAAATGTATAACACCATACAGTAGATAATTTTATGCCTTACAGGATTTACAGAAGTGGGGGGCAGAATATATGAAAAAAAAAAACTAAGAACATCCCAAATTTGTAAAATGCTCAATGAGTTCCAAATACAATAAACATAAAAGCATAAAGATCTAGGCACAGTGTAATCAAATTTGGAAGAAATCCCCCAAAAGAATCTTAAAATGCAGCTAGAGTAGTGACTTGTCACATATAAGGTATTCTGAATAAGATAAACAGTGAATTTCTCATAAAAATTATGCTTCTAGTAACAATGATTATAAAATAAAGAGAGTGAACATAATTTACTTACTGACACCAGCTCAGCCATAGAGACCCCCATTTAGGTGGTGCTGAAGGAATTAGGAAACAGACTCAAAGATAGAGTGTAAATTGGGACTATCAGGGAGCTAACAGCCTTCTGAGCTGAGAGCCTCAGGGACTGACAGTATTCTGAGCTGAGAACCTCAAGCAGATTCTGACCCACATGTTTATTCTCTTTGAACAGGTGAATATTATTAACAAACAGGTGTTCTGTGTTTTCTCATAGAACAAAAAATAAACTAGGTAGGTAGCTGGTGCCTGCTTACCACTGATCAAAGATAAACTAAAAGCATTCTCCATGAGGGAGCCATGGGGGCAGGGTCACATATCCCATGCTGAAAGAATTGTTTTAACTGGTGTATGATATGCATATATTGTTTTACTATTTTAGAATGCCCCAAGCAGTTTTCCCCTTGAAGGGATGGCTCAGTTTGCCTTGCCATTGTTCTCAGCAAACAATATAATTTATCATACATATTAGGACTTGTCCCACATTTACTAATATTATGAATGACAGAAGAAGCATTACTACACATCTTACCAACATTAAAGAATAATTAATACTAATTATTTTAATTTTTTGCCAATTAATCCAATAATTTAGATTAAATAAACACATCTTAGAGAAACCTGAATCACAAAACTGACACCAGAATATATAAAAATGTAACTAGTTCTGTATCTAGAAGAAAAAAATATTAGTTTATAATTGAAGATCTTCCCCATGCCCTGTCTCACTACAAAATTTTAAGTCAAGTTGGCATGACTAGTGACTTCTTTCAAACATTTAATGCAACTCTGACATAAATTCTTCCAGAAATCAGTGAAAGAGCAAACACCACCCAACTCACTTTGTGACAAATACAGATGCGATGAAGATATAACAAGTAAATTATAGTCTAATCTCCTTGATGAATATCCAAAAATTATTTACTTAATATTGGAAAATTAAACACCCCAACAAATAATATTAACACTACTTCTCCACTAATTTCAGTTTATATCCTGAGAGAAGTTAGCTTAATAGGGGAAAATAAATATATTGACTTCACCTTGTGACTAGAATAATGTAAGAAAAAAATATGATAATCTCAAAAGACAGAGTAGAATAATTTTATAAAATCTTACAACACATGAAAGATAAAAATTCCTATCTAACTATAAATGGAACATAGCATCGTATAATAAAATATGACATTTAGAAATAATTTATAGTATACATTACATTTGATGGCAAAAGTCTGAATATAACATAAAGAATAATGTAAACATATTTTTCCTATGTCTTCCATGGAAGAAAACATTTTTTTTATTTTTTCCATGGTTCCAATGTTTGTCATAGCCAATATAAGACAATCAAGAGAATAGAAATTATTGAATAAAGAACTGTAAAGGAGGCTTTATTCACAGATAACAAGATCATGTGAGATCAATATAGAAGACTGTGTATAATATACTGAAGGATTAAGTGAAAATATCAAAGTTCCCAGATAAAAGATTGATATATCAAAATTAATTGTATTTCTAAACAGTTGAAAACTGAAAATATTAAAACAAAATTTTACAATTCCAAAAAACATAAAATAATTAGGCATAAACTTAAGGAAATATTTATAAGACATATACACTGAAAACTGTAAGACATAGAATGAAGTAAACAGAGATATATTTATGTATGGAAGAGACAATATTCTTAAGAAGTTAATTTTCCTCAAGTAGAACTAGTTTTTTTGACAATCAATTGCAATTCAGAATGTTTTGCTTTCAAAATTGACAAGCTAATTGTAAAATATATTTTAATGCACAAAGATAGGAGAGTGAAAACACTTTTGAAAAGAATAAAGTTGAATGGACTTGCATGGTCTTATTTGACAATTCTGTTTTACCTCAAACATGAAGACAATGTGATAATAGTGTCTAAGTATTGAAATATAGATAACTATGAAAAATAAAATTAGATACACACATATATAACTAATTTTTAAATAAAATACCAACATAATTTAAAAGAGAAAAAATTTTAACAAATGTTGTTACATTTGTATTTATATCCAAGAGAATAAACCTTTAGTTCCTACCATACAAAAAAATTAGCTGTAAAAGTGTCAGAGACCAAAATGTAAAAGATAAAACTCTAAATTGTCATAAGAAACCCCAGAAAATTTTGTAGTTGTGTTAATCCATTCTCAGACTGCTGTAAAGAAATACCTGAGACTGGGTAATTTATAAAGAAAAGAGGCTTAATTGACTCATTGTTCTGCATGCTGTACAGGAAGCATAGCTTGAGAAGCCTCAGGAAACTTTCAATCATGGCAGAAGGAAAAAGAGAAGCAGGCATGTTTTATATGGCCATAGCAGAAGAAAAAGAGGGGGAAGGTGCCACACACTTTTAAATAACCAGATCTCAGGAAAACTGTATCATGAGAACAGCACCAAAGGGGGAAATCTGTGCCCATGATCCAATCACCTTCCACTAAGCCCCTTCTCCAACACTGGGGATTACAATTTGACATGAGATTTGCGTGGGGACACAAAACCATATTGTTCTGCCTCTGATTTCTCTGGAATCTCATGTTTTTCCCATGTTGTGATATACAGTCATCTTTCTCAACAGTCCCTCAAAGTCTTAGCTACTGTAGCATTAACTCAAAACTTCACAGTCCAAAGTCTCATCTGAGACAAGGCAAGTCCCTTCTGCCTATGAGCCTGTAAAAATCAAAAACAAGTTAGTTAGTTGTAGTGTGGGGGTACTGGCATTGGGTAAATACTTGAGTTCCAAAGGGAGAATTTGGCTAAAGAAAGGGGCTATACATCCCATGCAATTCAACACCCAGTAGGGTATTCATGAAATAAACCTCCAAAATAATGTTCTTTGACTCCATGCCTCACATCAAGG